GAGCTTGGAACCTGCATTTGTTCGTGAGACAGGCAAACTGCAGTGGAAGACTGCCCTAGGGTTCGTGGATGCAGGATGACACCCAGGAGCCTCTTAGGCAAAAAAAAGCACAGAGTTGAGAGGAAAGGGAGCCAGGAATAGAACTACCCCAGTGGGATCTACTCACTGTAACTGGTGTATGGTAAGGAGACCTGGGCCTCAGCAATGCCCTTAAATGCTTTTATAGAAATTAGCAGACCAGAAATCTGGGAGAGACATAATATATTTATTTCATTTATATATATTTCCCTTTTTACTTTTCTTCAGCTTTAAATCTTTAGTTCTTTTTAAAATACAAACCCAGCCCTGCTATGCTAAGGGTATACAAGTTAAACGGCTTCTAGATATAAAGAAAAATAACTACATATCTGAAGGTCAGGTAAGGTTTTAGCCCACTAACAAAGAATGAATTGGAAAGGAGAAAAAATGTTAAAAGTCAACATATGGACAACTGCAAAAATTTTGACGAGAAGTAATAATTGAGCAAGCATGCAATCTATAAATCTGGGGTAATAATAACCTTTGAAGACTGTTATATAATAAAATGAGATGACATATGCAAGTACATAGTAAACAGAAAACCCAGACTTCAGTATGTGTGACTGTACATGACTGTTTCAGGCTGCCTACAGGCTCCTCTGCACAAGGTGGTGCTTCAGGGAAATGTTAAAACAATGTCTGTGGTCTGAAATAAGGTTTGTCACAAGGTCTAGCCCTTAAAGGACTATTTCACTTTTATTCCCAACAATTCTACCTAAAAACCTTCAACTCCATCCAAACTTTAAGAACACAAAATCTGGTCAGACTCCCTGAAATCTATATCATAGTCTCACAATAAATCTATATTTATTTCATCTATATTTATTTCCCCTTTTACTTTTCTTCAGATTTAAATCTTTAGTTCTTTTTAAAATACAAACCCAGCCCTGCTATGCTAAGGGTATACAAGTTAAAGGGCTTCTAGATATAAAGAAAAATAACTACATATCTGTTATTTTATACTACTACATATATAACCACCTATTTCCACCACTTAGGTCACCCAGGCAATACTTGGCAGGTCACACTGGCCAACCTCTATTTGCCTCAAGTTCCCCAGCTGAAAACCAGTATAATAATAGAGCCTTCTCTTCAATAGGCTTAGTGGAAGAGTAAAATGAAGTAACACATGTAAAATTAAAATCCTCAATAATAAAGATGGTATTAATAATAATTTGACCAACCTTATGAAATTCAGTTCCACCATAAAGCCTTCTTTTACTTCCCCAGCATTTCCTGATGACTTACTATAATGACGACAGGGGTTTCTCCTTCCAAATTCCTACAGCACCTCTCATTCACCTCATGACCTCCTGTTGTTGTCTCCCATAGCACTAATCAAACTGTATGGAAACTATTTACTTTTCTGTCTCCCTGATCAGACTAAAAATTACTATAACTCTGCAATTCCATTGCCTAATATAGTGCCTAGGAAAATCAATCCATATACATTTGCTTAATCTTGATAATCTTCTCTTTTTCACTCATTAACTGCCTATCTCCCCACACAGGAAAACAAGATCCTTGTGGACAAACACCTTATCTGTCTTGCTTACCTGTGTACCCCCAGGGTCAAGCACAGTACATGCCATATATTAATGGTTAAAGGACTGATAGGGCGGAAGAAAAACCAACCACTTACAAAAACCTAAAGGGAAGGAAGACTGGTAGTGGTATGTTTCCCACCTGAACCCTTGCATAGAATTTGAGAGCTTGAAGAAACCCTACAGTTTACCTTTCTACTTTTTGGGTTCCAGAATAATGTTAAATACCACAACCTACTGAAAAGAAAAAGAATGGTCATGATAAAAAAAGCCTAATACAGTGAGGCATTGCCTTAATTTTTTTTATTGCATGTGCACTTAATGTATTAGTTTTGAGTAACTACTATTAATTCTAATCTACATAGTACTTTGTAACCTAAATTTCCACATCTTTCTTGAGGCATTAAACTGTGCTCAAGAGATAACATATTATAGAAGCACCTAGAATAGGATCTGGCACATGGCATGCAGAAGTGTCTATTATACTATTCTTATCATTAGAAAATTGCATGTGTAACTGTGAATGAACTCAGGCCTCCATTTTCTACTCAATTACTTTCTCCAAGAACAATTCATGCTTACATGGAAAAATCTACCAGATGATCCTCTCTTCATCCAACTTCTCATTTCCATAATGGCAACAAGAGAAAAGGAAAGGAAGTCCTTTCCTTTTCTTCTTTTTGTTATTATATAGGTTTTACGCACCCACCCCCACCCCACCCCCACCAAAGAAAAAGGGCAACAGGCTTGCAAAAAACCTAGTACCACCAAGGTGGAGCCAGGGAATTAGGTGATTTTGCTGAAGGAACCCAACTCCACCAAACATTGCACAAAAAGGGGTGGGTCTACTAAAGGACTAAGGTGTCACATTGGTAGGGAAATCCCAAATCAACCCGGCCAATACAGTAGGAGTACAGTCTCTAGAAAGATCCCCCAACCTCAGTACAGGTCTGGAATACATTCTCTTAATTTAAAATACTAGATGTTTTGAATTGTAATCACTTTTCAAAGCAGTTTCATACAGGATTACATGTTATAAAAGTGTGACAAAAGATCTGCAATTTCCAACATATACATCTAAAGTAATATATTCCAAAAAATTTGTTTACAATTAGAGAACATGAAAACTCTAAAGGTCCTTAACTTCTGAAATGCGTGCTCTTCTCAGATCACTTGATTTATAGCCAGAGTCAGACCAGGTACAAAGTACTGCGGAAAATACTAAGAATCAAGAAATGGAGAAAGGATACATGGATATTTAGCTTTAGACTTAATATGCAGCTAAATCTATTCAACTTTAGCTTACTCCTCAGCCTTTGGAAGGTAAAGGATCTACTTCCAAGATCATTTCAGGCATCAGTAAACCTACTGATAAATGACCTTATGATTACACAGCTTGTGATTACAGCTAACCTATGTCACTAATAGTAGGCCATTTCGATTTACTGCAAACATCTACACATTCACTTGAAATGATAAGTAAGCATTCTAGATCTGGATGAAAATATGTTTTACATGTTGAAGTTACACAAGCTGGAAAATTGTCTATTTAATTCTGCAATAGTAAAATGAAATAACATGATGAATTTGGAAACTGTTTATTCCATGTACAAAAATAATAAAAACTTCTAAACAATCAAATACATGGAAAAATAAGTTGGAATTAACTTTTAAATATATCCAAAAAGTACACTGGCTATTTGTTTCTAAAAACCTAAATAATAAGACAAAAAATAGGGATTATAATTCTAATATTTATACAACCTTTTAGTATATTACTATTAATGACATTGAACAAAATAATGCTGAAGTACTATATTTCATATTTAAGTACTTGTATTTAGGCTTGAGACCCTCAAGAAAAATCAATTTGGGAATTTTCATATCTTCTGCGAAAGACTTATAAGCAGAATTTCAACTATTGGTTTGAAAGAATGTATCAATTTTAACATTTATCCACTTGGCAAAAACATCTATTTAGAATAGAGGTATACTAAAGGTATACCTTTACTTAGAGGTAAGTCAGATAAAGTGTTTACTCCTTGTTTTCACTTTGAAGCATTCTTCCAAACTGCCATTTGGAAAAGTAAATACGGCATTTGTTTTCTTTCCACTTTTACCCTGAGGAACGCATATGGGCCATGTTGTCAATGAAGCCCTCTGAAGCACTGTCCACCTTTCTTCACCTGCTTTTTAGGTGAGGAGATGGGCGTAGATTTATACGCAGATGAAAGGCATCCTGGTGTCTCTGGGTGTATCCTGCGAACCTCCTGTTAGTACCTCACCTGAGCAAGCCTGCTGTTGCCCAAACCTCCACTTTTCAAAATATCTGCTCAGGGAAAGTGGTGCTGGGAAGCTGCTAGGGATACAGCTGGAAAAAGCATGAGCTTTGAACTCAGAGGCCACGGGTTTGATGCCTAAGTCACTAACTGCAGGAAATTTAACCTTGCAGTACCTTTATTTTTTCATCTCTTACATGAGGATTAATACCGTTTTCACAAGAGTGTTGCGCCAGTGAAATTACTAATGCAGGTAAAGTACCAAGTATGGGCCCTGGAACAAAGTATCTGCTCAGTAAACGATAGCTTTCATTACCCTGGGCACTTCACCACTATCTTTGTGGTTCTTGATTTTACTTATCCTGAGAAACATCTATTAACAAAAGTCTCATCAAATCCAAAGGTTTCGAATTTGCCACTAATCTTTCTTCCTAGGCCTCTGCTTTAAACCTTCAACGTTTCCAGGCCATTCTCGTATGTACAGTGCTTGCCCTGCTCACTTGCCTCTGCATTTCTGGAAAGGCGCATCTAGTCAAAGAAAAAATCAGATATTTTAGGATTAATTATCTAGTTGGCACCTCCCAGAACCTATATAACACATCTTGGAGCGAAGCAGTGAAATGCCGGGTGTCTCGGTGAGATTCTAAGGCCTGTGCTGCGCTGCCCGCTGGGCGGCTCCCCTTCCCGCGGCACTCCGGCCACCTTTATTCTTCCTGCAGGAAGCCAGCCGACGGCCAGGCTGCGTGCGCGCCTGGGAAGACACCCGCCCACGCGCAGTCTCGCCAACGCAAAGACGCAGCTCGCCCCAGCAACCGAGGAAGAGGGAGGCTCTATCCCGACTCACTTCCTGCAGCCGAGAGGAAAGACATCTTGCCGCAGGGCGGCCGGCAGCGGCGCGCGCCCCGCGGACAACTACGTGGCGCCACCCGCTCGGGAGGCGCGGCGGGCACGGGCGGCCCCGGCATCCCCGCCTGCCCCGGCCTGCCCGCGGGGCTCCGGCCGGCCGCAGGGGGAACGACGGCGGCGCGGCGCGCGGAACCCCCAGCCTGAGGAGGCGCGGGGCCGCCGCGGGTGCGCAGGCCGCCGCCGGGTCACCCACCTTTCTCACTCTGCGGGCCGTGTAGAGCCCCATCCCGTCCTGAACCCGGGAGGACTTCAGGGAGAACCTGTCCGGCACGTACATGCCCAGCATGTTGCCGGCCACGGCGGCCGCCGCCTCGCTCAGCACCGGCGCTCGGTGCCCGGGAGGCGACACATCGAGATTTGGGGTGCCGGCTGGAGGGGAGAGGCCGGCGGGGAAGGAGGAAATGGAGTTTTCCTCCCAGAATCCCCACCTCCCGGCCAATTCCAGGATCCCCCGCGGCTCGGCCCCTCCTCGTCCCGGGTCAGGCTCGGCCCGAAGTCGCCGGGGCCGGTGCTGCCGCGGGGGCGCAGGGGGCGCGGGCCAGGGCGCTGCGGGCTCCAGGACGCCGCGCGCTGATTGGTCCAAAGTTGCGCCCGGGCGCGGAGCCCGGGGCAGAGCTGACCCCAGAGCCTCACACCCTGCCGCCCGCGAGTCAAGCCTAGCGGATTCTCCCGCACCCGGGCCCGGCGCGGCAGCGTGCAGACCCGCCCCGCTCCAGCTCCCTGAGTGAATAGTTCAGATACATAGTTCTGCTCCTGCACTATTACTACCAGTTTGGGAATTTTACTGTCTTCAAATGGGAAACAAAAAGGGCCTTGATACGGCTGAGGGCATCCTCCAAAACTGCTTTCCCAAGTTTACCAGACTCTGTACGCAGGCTTATTGCTAGACTACTGAGAATAATCCCTGAGGTGTAGGAAATGTGGTCCTTCTCAGTCCTAGGGTCCTTCTCACATCTGAGTTCTGCATCTTGTTTTTATCATGCTTGCTTGAGAAGTTTGAGCTCAGGGGACTAGTTAAGTATATTGAGTAACGAACAGAGAAAGGGGGTGTTCACAACCTGCAACTGATCTGTTTCAAGTTAATTCAAAATTTGCCCTGAAATCTAAGTGGAGTAGGAACAAGTTCTTTTATAATGACCTAACCCTTGGGAAGTACTGTCACTTCCAAAAATACATTATTCTTGAGTCCTCTCTTGCTTCAGGATCACCAGATCTATTAGAGATATACAGACATACCACTGTGCAGATGGGGGAGATACAAAGAAATGCCCAAACTATAGAATCTGGTATCGCAAGAATGAAAGCATGCCAAAAGTCTTGTTTTAGTATTTTCAATAAAGGTAGGTGTTGCAGTGTGCCCAGAAGGAAACTTTTCTTCAACTTAAAGTTACTACTGGCTTTGTTCAAAAATCCAGGAGTCAGGCAGCATCCAATATGGCAGATAAAAAGTTGATCCCAAGAGCTTTACAAAATGAAGGACTTTTATAGGGAGAAGAGAGTGCAAACAAGTTTTACTACCCAAAAACTGGATTGGCTATTGCAAGGTTACTTCGTTTCAGTAGTTTGCAGGAGTCTGTCAGGCAAAAATCATTAGTGCCTATAAGGCAACTCCTGATTGACTAGTTAAGATTACATTTCTGGAGCAGCAGAAACTGTAAATTAGGTTTCAGTTTGGTGACATGGGAACTTAACATAAGTGTTTCCATTCGAGGCCCATTTTCTTGTTTATAGCAACAAGAAGAATTTTATTAGAATCATGTAGTAGCACTATTTGCAGATTTTAATGAATAGAATAAATGATCCTCTTTTTGAAAAATTTAAGGGTAGCTTTGCCAGAGGTGAAAGGAACAAGGCCTTAATCATTCTGAGTTTCCATCCCTTTGACCCACCACTGAAGATATTATCTAACTTTATGTAGGGCAAAATGAATCAACACAAAGTTTGTTCTGGGGGATTTGAAATTAGATGTCCTTGAAATACATGATAGGTGTTTAATAAATACTTCTTGATTAAAAAAGTATATTCTGAGGTGAATCTGAGATTTTCAAATGAGGTGATGAATTAATTCACTTTGCCTCAAAAAATCCAGACTAAGTAGATTTTCCTAGAGTCCTTCAAATCATTGCTAAAAACAGGCCAGACCAGGTCCACTGGGACCAGCTGGAACCAGCCCACAATTCAGAGGGTGGCCCATAGCATTTTCCCCAGGGCACCACAGAATCTTTCATCTCTGTGCCTCAAGCCACCTTGGCTTCTCAGTCAAATACTCTGGCATGTTTCTTTGGGCACAGAAGTTTCCACAGCTTTTGATATCTAGAGAGAAAAAGAAATGTTTTCTAGTCTTAGTTTGACACACCCTCATTCCCTGCTGACCCTTTCCTTGGCATATCTCCCTTTTGGTTGCCCTTTGTTTCTGGGGAACAAAGTTGCCAGTTTTAGAATGCTCATCTTTCTGAATGTAGGCATCTTTACTAATTAGGAAACAGTAAAAACTAAATGAGTTTCTGAAAATCTGAAATTAATAAAATGAAAAACATTCCAAATCTTTTATGACTCTCCATGAGAGATTTTGTTACAGCTGATACAAACAGCATATTTCATAAAAGCGTGCAGTGTTTTTTTTATCTACTTGGTAGAGTGCTTTGAAGATCTACTACCTAAAGCATGGAAACCAGCAATAAAAAGCCCCTAATAATAATCTCTATTGCAACACATAAAAAAAGGATACATGTTTGTCAAATCAAAATGCACAATACTGTCCGGAAATTTGATTTTGAAGCCTGTAAGACAGTAGTGGTACAATAATGATTTCTTAAAATTTTGATAGCTAGAAAGTGACCTTTCAATATTATCTTTGAAAAATGGGAAATTAAAAGTCTGTTTTATATCAAGAGTTTAAATCCAGTCCTAAAAAAATCAAATACTGACATTAAAGTACTACCATGCATCTGATTTACTTATTCTACAAAATAGTGCACCATCTTGACCCAGGAGAAATGATTACAAATACTTTTCTCCTTACTTTTAAATACACTTTTGGAAGAAATTGTTTTCATTGATATGCCTAAAGCAAACTCTAGTTATTGAATTCAAACTTGTGTTACTAATACAGGCCTTATTTTTTCATCACAAGGAAGACTTGAATTGTAATTCTATATTAATTGATTATTTTACTGCACATACTGTGGAATTCTTTTGCTTGTGTCTTGATTATTAATGACTGTTTCCAACTGCCATGGTAGAATAAAAGCCTGATAGAAAGGAACACTGAGGTTTATTTGTCTAGTTTCCTGAGAGTCAGAAGGATTTTGCAGTGAATGAATATAGAACCAAGTTTCCTGAGCAGAAGAGAATAAAGATTTATTTGGTGTGACTCAAAAAAAAAAATCCTTTAAAATAAACCCAGAGTGGGTTGTTGGATTCTTGCTCTGAAACCATCTCTCCTTGACATTCATTTCACAATAGCAATAGCACTATGAAAAGATGACCCTAAAACCTGGAAAAGTCTGCACATTTAATTTTCTTTAATATCTTGGCTGTAAGAGATGACACCAAAGACTTGTATGCAGCAACAGAGAAGAATCATGCAATCCATCAATTAGAAGAAACCTAGTAGTTGTTGGAACAAGAGTGAGAAATGCTATACAAAGAAAAACCAAAGGATAAATCAGTGATCATCTCACCCCAAAGTCACCACTGTTCATGGAGCAGAGTACAGAAGGGTAACAGGACACTGAAGCAAAGTGTTGGAAGGAAACCAAGAAGGATAATAGTTTTATGCATTAAACCTATTATATGCCAGAAGCTGGACTAGACTCTTCATATCCACTATCTTAAAGCCCTGACAGCCCTACCATAACAGCCCTGCAAAGCAAATTTTATTAGCCCTATTTTATACACCAGGAAACTGAATCTCAGAGAGATGATTGATCTTAGTCAATTTCATACATCCATGAAATGGTGGAGGTAATTCAAACCAAGGACTGGCTAATTCCAGTGTCAGACTGGCTGACTCAGATTGGGCTCACTTTTCAGTTATACTTCCCATAAGGCTTAACAGCAGCTCTGGGGCTAGGAGGAAATCTCCATTTCCCTTTCTTTCCCTCTCTCTCTCATTCTCTCTCTCTCTCCTCCCAGCCCCCTGCCTGCCAGTTCCTGTCAACTTATGCTCTGGAACTGGGAAGAAAATTTGATTGGCCAAGGTCAATAAAAGAGTGGTTCTGCAGTGAGTTTAGTCCAGTCAACTGTCTAAGACAGAGTCACGTGGTTTTCTAAGGACATCTCTGCAGAAAGGAGCTGTAAGATAAGACCCTACCTTCATAAAAAGTTTTTCTCAACCTGGCAGGTCGGATATTTTGCAGCTTAGCCTATTTATAACCACAGCCTTGCTTATCTGCAAATGTTTAATCCATAGTAATGATAGTATTAAAAAGAATCAGCAATTAGCCAAAAAGAAATAACAACTCTCCTATGTTTATCAGAGCCTCCCAATTTGTTCTACTAGGTTTCCTCTTCCCTTATTAAAATAAAGTGTTCATTTCTGACTTCAGAAATGAACTATTATTTTTTAAAAAAAAGGGGGAACACCTTCTTAACACTCCATTCCAAATGAGTAAAGAGGAATCTTGTTTTAGTGATCATTTTCTATAAACTGTCTGAAACTAAAGAGTAAAAATAATGATTATTATTATAATAATGTCTCATTAATTATTTGGCACAGAGGCAAGAACCAACTTTTTCCTTAGACGATGTTATTTTAGATGAGCATCACAGTTGAGTGCTGACATCTTGGTGACCTTTTACTAAAAAGGGGACACGCACACAGCGGTGATGTAATTCCCTGCTGAACAGGGGTCTCCACAAGGCTTCCTCTCTCCAACTGAATCTTTCTTCTTATGTTGGGCAACTTCTTGAAGTTTCTTCAGACATTGAAAACTAACATTGTCTGAAGATCATTGATTTTAGAATTTCTGTCTGTGGTTTCCAATTGTAACCAAGCACTGTATCAGTATATTTTTACATATGAAGGAAGACTGTTATTTGGCATTTTAGGTGAGTTCAAGAAAGTAATGCTCATTAACATTAGTTTACTTTGTTTTAAAAAGTCTTTATAATTAGGCAACAGTATACTAATGTCACTTATTTCTAACACATCAACATTTTCTGCTGAAATAACTCTATAGATCTTAGGCTTTTATATCCAAAACTAATTTATGAAGTACAGTATTTAAATTGTACATGTGATCAAAATAAGAAACAATATATCATTCTGAAAGCTACTAATATTGCACGCCCTGAAGGTAACCTGAACCTTTGCTATAAGAAACTTGTCAACATGTGGAAAAACAAATTGGAAGACTTCTGGCTGCGTGACAGATGTATTCTCTGGAGAAAAATACAAAAAAATTTAAATAATCAAATATGGCAAAAAGTAACAGATTCTGTTATATCATTGGGTCAGATGTTTCCTCCATGAACTATAGTCCAGCCAGCCTTT